TTCGGAAATTTCACGTTGATCAAATTTACATAAAAAAAAAATAATTAAATTTTTAAATCCTATTATACTAAAATTCATCTAAATTTTCTTTACCTATGGACTTTAGTGCTACCTTTCTAACGAAACAATTTTCATACCTATGGGATTTAGTTTCACTATACAAACAAACATATGCAATTATTCAATAATAATTAATGTTAATGTTGGCTTAAAAAAAAAGATATATTTTAAAATAAAATTAAATTTTTTATATTTTCTTAAAATGGAAGGAAGTCAGTCAATGCAAATTTTTCAGAAAAGAAATGCTTCCGACTTTCTAGAATACGTGGACAAAAGAAGAGAAGATAATTTTTATTTTTTTTTTATCGAAATTTCACAGTTTCCCACAAGTGCTCCGAAAAGAGTATTGGTGTCACAAAAAAAAAAAAAAAAAAAAACCTGCTGGGAAGTTAAAGTTTATTCATTCCTAACTTCGTCAGAGACCTTACAAAAGTGTTTACCATTTTTGAGATTATCATTAAAGAGACATGACGCTGAATAGGATAAGATAGTGAGTTAAAACATGTTACAAAATCAAAGCTTGTCAAGAAATTCAAAATTTAGAATCAAGTTTTCGATGTTAACTATGAATTCGGACTTAAAACCGTGCATTCTCGCGGTAAAGTGTAAAAGATTAATGTAAACACCATTGAAGAAAAAAAGATTGTTGAATATGGAAGCAGGCAAGGAGGCAAATATTCTTAAAATGATTACGGTATTCGCTGAGATTAAGGAGATTTTATGGAGACTCTTAAAATGCATATTTCTGCGGACAGTGCTTACGACGAAAATTGTAATATATTTGGATAGATGGAGTATAGTATAAATGGACAGAAAGAAAGAGAGGGGGAGAGAGAGAAAGAGAGAGAGAGAGAGAAAGAAAGAAAGAGAAGGAGAGAGAGAGAAAGACAGAGTAGGGGGGGAGAAAGAAAGATGGAGAGGGAGAGAAGGAGGGAGAGAAAGAGAAAGAGAGAGAGAGAGAGAGAGAGAGATAGAGAAGGAGAGAGAAAGAAATATGGAGAGGGAGAGAACCATGGAGAGAGAGGGAGAGCAAGAGGGAGTCCCACAATGCAATAACTCGGCTCTTCACATTAAGTTTCGAATAAAACGACCTAAACAGGTCACCCATTAAGAGAGTGGACAACTTTGATTGGTAGCTCATCAGTTTCATCATCTTAAAATGTTTATCTTTTGTAAATATTTTTACATTTATTTAATCTAAAGTGTTTAACTATTTTTTTCGTTTAGTTATGATTAACCTGAATTTGATGTTATTTCATATATCGAAGAGTAAAAGAAAAAAAAGGTAATAATAATAATAATAATAATAATAATAATAACAAGATGCTCGATTACAAACGAGTTTAAAATTTCATTAACTTATGGGCTTGAATTTATGTTATAGTTTGAGCTTCTTATGTTAATATTTTTAAAAATGTGAATATTAAACAATTTTGACAAAAAAAAAAAAAAAAAAAAAAATTAAAACAACACTATACAAAATGATTTAAACTGGAGCTAAGAAATCCTCAAATAAATATGAAATTTTCTATTAAAATGCAATATTTAAAAATTTGAGAAACTTTTCAAATACAATGCGAAACGCAAGCTAAACAGTAAACTGGTTGAAGCTTCGACGGAATGACATTGCCAAAGAAGTAACTAAAACAACTGATTCGCAGTATTCAATTTGAATTATTTAATATTTGTTTTTATACCCATCACCGGGGGGAAGAGGGGTATATTCATTTTGTCAACACGGTTGCAACGCCCAGAAGGAAGCATAAGAGAGACCACAAAGTGTACATATTTTTGATCACCATCAAATGCTAAATCGATTTAGGCATGTCCGTCTGTCCGTCTGTGTAGTATTTGTTGTAAACAATCTCTGGGCCGCAAAAATGCAGCTACCAACTTCAAATTTGGCAGAAACAGTGGAAGTTCTTGCATGCAGTTTAATATTGAAAATGAGTCAAATCGGTCGAAAGACACACACACACACATCACCAGGTAAACTGAGAACACATCTGTTTTTCAAAGAGAATGAAAAATTGGTTTAAACTATGGCAGATAAATGTACGATAATTTGAAACCATATTCTATGAGCCATGCTATAGCATTTACGCACAAATCTGGAATAAGTTGCCCACGTTTACCCAATATTATAGTGTATCAAGATTTATTTATTTTCTCAATAATTTTATAATGCGCAGAAACAAGCTTCAAAAACCACATAAAGCATACAAATTCTTGGCCAGTTTAAAATTTGGAATACACCTAAACACGTCCGCCTGCTCGAAGATGGGGATATCGCCTACAAATTTTGGAAAATAATTTGGAGCTGACCTAAACATGTCAAAGGGCCCGGCCACAAGGCCCACATGTCTCGACGACAAAAAATTTTATTTTGAAAATAGAAGAAATCGACTGCGCCCGCTCCATACTCTAAAGCATGAAAATTTTGTTCTTTTATTTCTTTTGTCTTTTTTCGGGGGAAACGATGATGGGTATAAAAGATTCGGTCTCGCGCGAATTTAATTCTCTTATTTGTTTTTTACTATTATTTTTTAAATTTACATGTCAAGTCGGTTTAGAATAAACTTTATTTTTATACGACTTTATGGTAACGCGGTTTTTGATTCATGGTCCAAAGTAATTTGTAGCAAATTGATTTTCGCACAAGTAAGTCCATCTACCAATGGAAGAATTTTGTATTATTGATGCTATCTTAGCTATCGGGATTTATATGATTTTCCTTTACGCTCAAGTTCAAAGCTAGTCCCTTACTAACTTTTGTAGGCATCAGAGAAGGTCTTGAGTTTCTTTAGCAAATTTTTCTTTATAGTTGAATTAACAGGTCTAATGCGAGTCTCACGAAGTATTAATTTAAAGTTTCGAAGGTGCCTGATGTCATAAAAGAAGCAATACATAAAACCTTAGTTGTATTTTACGTGATCTTTGCTGAAAAGTAAAGTGAAATGTGAGACGTATTATCATCTTAAGCTATCTTTCTTTCGTTTAACTGATTAGCACCACCACCTTTGTTTGTTCATATCTTTCCCATGACAATGATATTGAATAAGAATCATGTAATCAAGGTTTCTCTTGTATTGCAAAAAGTGCAAAACGGACGCCACCAACTGCTGCCATTGATTTAAATCGAAAAGACTTCGAAGATAGACTTTGTATAATATTAGGACATTTGTCGATAGCAACCCTGTCTTTAGACGATTTTCGGCTGCTTTATGAATCAATTCTAAGTCGTTCTAACTTTGTCCGTCCGTCTATCCGCTTGTCTGGTTTTTTGTGTTTGCTTTTATTCTTTATTTTAAATGGCACTGACATATTGTGGCCTACGAATGAAAGCTTTTCAAAAAGGTCCGGAGCCGGGCCATATCACGCGTCGATATATGTGTAACTGTAGCGTGTCGGAGAGTTTTTAATTATGGACCGTGCCCCTCTATACTGTTTTTACTTGTCCAAATTTATTAAAGACAAAAGTCAACTACGAAAGTTATATTTGACCCTAAGTGCTTTTAACATTTAACTCCTTACCAACATTTATAAAAATTATAAGTCAATATCGATCAGTAAGCAATAATTATTTGTATAAAATTGCGAAGAGACATTGTAGAATGGTGAACTTCTTCAGTTATACTACACGCGCTGCAGACCATTGGTTGCACTTCAACTTTCGGTCAAGAAAGCTTAGATGATAGTTGCGTCATATGAATGAATTTGGAATGTCATGCCTGAACAACAATACGTATGCTATTGTGATCAAAATGTGACGAGACTCAATTTATTTTCGATTGCCCTAATGCGAAGCATTGTGACTACCCTATGTCGGTCTAAACTTTTAATAAAACATATTACTTGAGCGTTTTGCGTGTTGTTTCTGTGTGAATCTTTCACTAGAAAATCATATCATATCTTTCGTACTGATCCGATTACTTTGACATCTAATCACTTTCAAAGGTACTTAGGAGAAATACATCTTTTTTTTGGAAAAAAATAAAGAATGCTAGCAATTAAGAGAAGGAAAACTGTTTGTTTTTGTTGTGATTTGCGTACATAAGTCAAAGGGGTTTTAAATAAAGATGTCAAATGAATTTTTATAATATTTTCATTTATCATTGTTGGCCGATACAATATAAAACACATTTCTGTTCTTGACATTTTCTATTCCCGCTCCAATTATGTTCAAATCGTCGCTGGCATAATATTTGTACATGATCTAGGAAAATAACCGCACGTTTCCAGATAAACAACAGTCAAGGCCTTTTTTCTCATAAACGAAACTTTATTGTGTGTTTAGAACCAAGTGTAGAGTATTAGAACCAAAAAAAAAAAGAAAAAAGATTTTAAAGTTTACCTATACCTTATTTCCTGATTTAAAAAAAAAAAAGAAAGAATAATAATAATAAAGATTCAATTCTTGGACTTACTCTTTACTATGGTAGATGATTATTAAAAAAATTTTAAACAAAAAAAAAATTAATGTTTTATGGTTTTTTTTTTTGTTTTCGTATAATCACTTCTTGTTATTTATAAATAAATGTAATTTGTTTTGCCTTGTTTTTTTGTTTTTTTTTTTTTTTTTGCAAAGAATCTTACAGTAAATGTTCAATGA